TGGGCTTACAGATGAAAACTCATGAATGGGAAAGACTCAGCTATCGTTAAAGCCCAATATATTTTATTAAAGATATTGGGGCTGTCTCCTAAATCTAGTTAGTGATGAATTTCAACTCTAGAGCCATCAATGAATCCTTGTCCACATTCATTACACATAGGTTTTCTGAGAAAATTGTCTGCTGTTTATGAGAGGTCTTCTCCAGTGCCAAAGTGAGCATAATAAGCTTGCTTTCGGCTGGGCTTGGTAGCTCATGCCTGTAATCCCAGCACTTTGGGAGGCTGAGGTGGGCAGATTGCCTGAGATCAGGAGTTTGAGTCCAGTCTGGCCAACATGGTGAAACCCTGTCTCTATTAAAAATACAAAAAATTTAGCTGGGTGTGGTGGTGGCATGCGCCCATAAGCCCAGCTACTCAGGAGGCAGAGACAAGGTAATTGCTTGAACCAGGGAGGTGGAGGTTGCAGTGAGCTGAGATTGCGCCACTGCACTCCACCCTGGGCGACAGAGTGAGACTCCGTCTCAAAAAATAAAAATAAAAATAAAAGTGGCCGGGCGCGGTGGCTCAAGCCTGTAATCCCAGCACTTTGGGAGGCCGAGACGGGCGGATCACAAGGTCAGGAGATCGAGACCATCCTGGCTAACCCGGTGAAACCCCATCTCTACTAAAAAATACAAAAAACTAGCCGGGCGAGGTGGCGGGCGCCTGTAGTCCCAGCTACTCGGGAGGCTGAGGCAGGAGAATGGCGTAAACCTGGGAGGCGGAGCTTACAGTGAGCTGAGATCCGGCCACTGCACTCCAGCCTGGGCGACAGAGCAAGACTCCATCTCAAAAAAAATAAATAAATAAACAAATAAATAAAATAAAAATAAAAGTAAAAGTAAACAAACTTGCTTTCTTTTATGTGCTCCTTGATTTTGATGGTGATGTAAAATCAAACCGAAGCCGAAAATACAATAATCACATTTATACAGGGCATTTTTCAAGGAAATTTGTTGATTTTTACTTTAATCATTTAGTGACTCACTTTTGTAAGTCTCTTGTAAGTGGCCAGGCATGGTGGCTCACACTTTTAATTCTGTCACTTTGGGAGGCTGAGGCAGAAGGATCACTTGAATCTAGGAGTTCGAGACCAGCTTTTTACAGAGTGTCTCCCCTATAAGTCTCCGGAAATGAAAGATTTTCAACTGTGAAGACAACCCTAACCATACTCATATTCTAGTTCCTTTGCCTTTCCATATAAATTTTAGAATAGTTTTATATCTACAGAATATCTTGCTGTGATTTTGATAGCAATTATTTTAACCCTGTGTATCAATTTGGGGAGAATGAACATTTTTGCTGTATTGAGTCCCATGATCCTCAAACATGGAATATCTCTCCATTCATTTAATATTGTTGGATTTTCTTCATCAGTGTGTTGTAATTTTCATCTTACAACCCTTGTACATCTTTTGTTGAACTTCCATCTAGGTAAGAACTTTGATTTCCATTTGTTCATTGCTAGTATAATATATATAAATTAATTTTGGTATGCTGATAATGTATCCTATGATCATGCTGAATTCACTTATTATCTAGGCATTCATGGATTGGAAACTTCACGTTTTTATGATGACAATACTATCCAAACCAATCTACAGTTTTACTGCAATCACTATCAAAATCCAAACAGTCTTTTTTTGCAGAAATAAATTCATATGTAATTGCAATGGATGCAAATAGACATCTTTTTTTTTTTTTTAAAGGAACACAATGGATGGCTCCCACTTCCCCATTTCGAAACTTACTACCAAGCTATAGTAATGGAATAGAATTGAGAGTCCATAAAGAAACCCATACATCTAAAGTAACTTGATTTTCAAGAAAGATCCAAGATGGCTTAATGGAGAAAGCATAGTCTCTTTAGCAAACAGTGCTGGGCAACTATATATACATATGCAACATAATGAAGTTAGATCCACACTTCACGCTATACCTAAAAATCAACTCAAAATGATCAATGACCTAAATAAAAGAGCTTAAGCTATGCAACTCCTAGAGTAAAACATAAAAGTTCATCTTTAAAGCTTTTTATTTGGAATGGATTCTTAGATAAGACACCATATGCACAAGCTAAGAAAAGCCCACATAAATCGGACTAGAGCAAAAAAATGCTTTGCATACAGAGACATTGTCAAGAGCATGAAAAGACCATACAGCATGGTGTCTAGTATCAGAATATATAAATAACTCTTAGACCAGGTGAGGCGGCTCTCACCTATAATCCCAGCACTTTGGAAGGCTGAGATGGGTGGATTGCTTGAGCCCAGGAGTTTGAGGCCTGCTTGGGCAACATGGTGAAAACCATGTCTCTACAAAAATGAAAAACTAAATGCAAAAAGCAGCCAGGCATAGTGGCCCACACCTGTGGTCCCAACTACTCGGGAGCTGAAGCAGAAGGATCGCTTGAGCCTGGGAGGTCAAGGCTGCAGCAAGGCATGATGTGCCATTGCACTCCAGCCTGGGCAACAAAGAGAGACTCCATCTCTTAAAAAGAGGAAGAAAAAGAAAAAGAAGAAAAAAAAAAAGAACTCTTACAACTCAATAACAAGAAGAGAAATCATTCAATGTTCTAATGGGCAAAGATACAAATAGAAATTTCAGATATATAAGTTACCAACAATCGTGTGAAAAGATACTCAACTATTAGTCATTAGGAAAATGCGAATCAAACCAATAATGAGATACCATTTTAAAACAGCTATGTTGGCTATCATCTTTAAAAATAGAAAATAGCCGATGTGGTGGCAGGCACCTGTAGTCCCAGCTACTTGGGAGGCTGAAGTAGGAGGATCGCTTGAGCCCAGGAGTTTTGAGGTGTAGTAAGCTATGCCCACTGGGTGTCCACCATCAACATGGTGACCTCCCAGGAGCAGAGGACCATGAGGTTGCCTCAGGAGAGGTAAACTGGTCCAGGGTGGAAACACAGCAGGTCAAAACTCCCATGCTGATCAGTAGTGAGATGTTGCCTGTGAATAGCCACTGCAATTCCGCCTGCACAACACAGGGAGACCCCGTTTCCAATTTATACATACACACATATACATATACATATATATTTTATACATATACACACACACACACACACACACACAAAATAAGTATTGGAGAGGATGTGGAGAAATTACTACCCTCACACACTGAAGGTGGGAGTGTAAAAACGGTGCAGTTGCTGTGGAAAATTGTTTTGTGGTTCCCAACATGGAATTACCATACGAATCACTAAATTTCATATCTAGGTGTATACCCAAAAGAACTGAAAGCAGGTGATGAAAGAAATACTTGTATGCCACTGTTTGTAGCAACACTATTGACTACTGCCAAAAGGTGGAAATAACCCAAATGTCCCTCAATGAATGAATGGATAAACAGTGGCACAGGCCTGTAATCCCAGCACTTTGGGAGGCTGAGGTGGGTGGATCACCTGAGGTCAGGAGTTCGAGACCAGCCTGAGTAACATGGTGAAACCCTGTCTCTACTAAATACAAAAAAATTAGCCGGGTATGGTGGCACATAGCTGTAATCCCAGCTACTTGGGAGGCTGAGGCAGAATAATCATTTTAACCCAGGAGGCGGAGGTTGCAGTGAGCTGAGATCACGCCATTGCACTCCAGCCTGGGCATCAAGAGGGAAACTCCGTCTCAAAACAAAACATGATAAAGCAAACAAACAAAAAAACAAATCGTAGCGTAAATATAAAATATTATGAAGTACTGGTGCATGCTGTGATGTGGATGAACTTTAAAAGCAGTTTGCTGGCCGGGTGCGGTGGCCCACGCCTGTAATCCCAGCACTTTGGGAGGCCGGGGCGGGTGGATCACGAGGTCAAGAGATCGAGACCGTCCTGGCTAACACGGTGAAATCCCGTCTTTACTAAAAATACAGAAAAATTAGCCGGCGTGGTGGCACGCGCCTGTAGTTCCAGCTACTCTGGAGGCTGAGGCGGGAGAATCGCTTGAACCCGGGAGGCGGAGGTTGCAGTGAGCTAAGATCGGGCCTCTGCATTCCAGCCTGGCCACAGAGTGAGTCTCAAAAAACAAAACAAAAACAAACAGACAAAAGCAGTATGCTAAGTGAAAGGGGTCAGAAACAAAAGGTTCCATAGTTTATAATTCCATTTACATGAAATGTCCACAATAGGTAATTCAATAGGACAGAGATTGCTTAGTGGGTATGGGGTCTTTGGGGTGATGAAAATGTTTCCTAACTTTTGGTGACTTTCACGTTTTGTGCATTACACCTCAATAGAGATGTTTTAAATAATAAAATACGTTAAAATGTTTCGCATAGATAAGAAAGAAAAAAACAAACGTTTTTGTTGAGAAAATCTTTGCGAGATAAAATGTTAATATCACGAATATAAAAACAGTGCTTGAAAAGTGAGGGATAAAACCAAAAAATAAAAAAGTGGGCAAAACATCTGGACAATTTACAAAAACTGTAATAATGACACCTGAAAATATGCAAGAATATTCCATTTTGTTTACAAGAGATTTAAATTAAAACTACATGCCATTTCTTACCACTGGCAAAACTTAATTATTTTATGATTATATCATCTCGCTTGGTCCCTTTCCAGTAACCCTCCTGTCATCACTAGAGGCGTTTAGACTTCAGGAATTCCTTTCTATACGATATTTTCTCTTGGGCACCCAGGGAGAGGAAAGGAAGGACGACTCTCAAGTTAGTCCACATTTCCCAACAGGCGCTCGGGGATATGGGATTCATTCCCGGTGAGAAGAGTAGTCAAGGGCTTCCTAGTAGTCGTCAACACTTCCCCTGGAGGGTGATGCTGCAGGAGTACAGTCCAGACTCTCAGTGTAATCGCGGTCAGTTTAGCTACGGCAGGCGGGTCCCAGGGAATTCTGGGAAGTGTAGTCCAGACGCTCAGTGGAGTAGCGGTCAGTTTGGCTCCGGCTGGCGGGTCCCGGGGAATTCTGGGAAGTGGAGTCCAAACACTCAGTGGAGTCTCGGGCACTTCCGTTTGGGGACTGAGGTTGCTGCAGTTTTTCCGCGACAGTTTGGGTCAGTTCCGCGCCTTGCGGACCGTTCTGAATTTCCTGGACCTATGCATTGGATCCTCAACCAACTGGCGATCGAATTAGGGGAAAAGGGGCCTCGTCGCAGAGCAGAGGTTTGGAGCGGCAAAGGCAGCTGTTTGCGTTTTCGTCCGTGGCACCTTCTTGGGCTTGGGTCTGTCCTCACGTCCCGGGGGCACTGGGACTCGGTTGGGTCGCGTCTCACCTGGTTTCAGGGTTTCCGGGGCTCTGAGCTCGCCCACTCCGCCCCCTGCACCCCACGCGCGCGGCGACTTCTTCGCGATGTAACGTTGGGATGTTAATCTCCTTGGGTTTCCCGTTACTGTTCTTTAAAATGGGGACTTTAGGACCATCCTAATGGAATCGTTTTGGGAACTGGAAGAGGTAACACAAATGAGAGGCGTAAAGCAGTCCCTGTCACTTGGTGACTGGTGGTCTCTTGTTAATTTCCCACGAAGCCTGTCAGGTCCCTGGGTGGGCTGAGAGCTCCAGCTGCAGGGGCCCTGGCCCTTGTCCCTGATCCCTGCAGGACGCCGGATGATCCCGGAAGCCTTCCGACCTCTTTAGGAGGGCGAGGTTTGCGTCCACTTTCATGAAGGGTGAGGAACATTTAACTTATGGGGGACGGCGACGCGGTCAGAGTATTTCATAGCTTTCTCCTTCCTCAACCCGACCTTTCCAAAAGAGCTGCAGGGAAGGACTTTTTGGCTTCTGACGGCAAAGCTCTACGTGAGTGGTCCTTGGCTCTTTTCTTTGACAGAGATGCTCACCCCAACCGAGAGTGTATAGGATGTGTCCTCGGGCATGGGTGTCGATAATAATTAAGTCTTAATTAGTAACTTCATTCTAAGGGCTTTATACAAATAAATTTACGCCACACCGTGGCTCTGTGGAGAAGTATTGCTTTTTTCTATTTTAAAAACGAAAGAGAGACACAGGGCGCATAGGCGCCCGACTAGTGAGAGGTGGAGCTGGGGTTGGAACCTAAGCAGTCCGGGTCAGAGCCTGATTTGATCTTCTGTTGGATACGTTCTCATTGAGGCAGAGGAGCTAGTTGGACTTAAGTGGGGAAAGCAAGGCTTAGGGGCGTGAGCTTTTCTCAGTTTTTAAAAATGTTGTCAACTATTTTGTTTCAATCATTACAAATATTTTGTACTCTTACAGAACCATATCATTGTAGAGCATTCTATTTTTCTTTATTAAGAATAAAATGGGCCGGGCGCGGTGGCTCACGCCTGTAATCCCAGCACTTTGGGAGGCCTAGGCCGGCGGATCACGAGGTCAGGAGTTCGAGACCAGCCTGGCCAAGATGGTGAAACCCTGTCTCTACTAAAACATAATTACAAAAATTAGCTGGGCGTGGTGGCGGGCGCCTGTAATCCCAGCTACCCGGGAGTCTGAGGCAAGAGAATCGTTTGAATCCGGGAGGCGGAGGTTGCAGTGAGCCGAGATCCTCCATTGCACTCCAGCCTGGGCGACAGTGCGAGACTCCGTCTCAAAAAAAAAAAAAAAAAAAAAGTTTTTATTACCTACTAATCCATGATGTAAAGATAGCAACTTTTAAGCTTGTAATGTGTTTCTTTTTTTTTTTTTTTGTATATTTATAGGTTTATTTATGAACATTTTAAAATTTTTATAATTTTTTCTTAATGTTTCCCCCTTATGTGTTTAACTATGGAAATTTCCAAATACTGACAAAGAGACTAAACTAGTGAATTATCATGTTATATCATACTCATTAATCTCATTGTTGTTATTATTTTTCTTATGTTTTCTGAAATTATAAAACTTTTTATTTTCATATCATTTAAAACCTATAGAAAAGTTGCCAAAATAGCCTAAGAAATTCTTATTTACTCTTTACCCACGTTTGTCAAGTGTTTACATTTTTCCTGTTTTGTTGATGACCATCAGCTGAATACCACCAGAAATATACCTGTAACCAGAGACAGCTGATTATAGCTTTCTGCAGCAAGGAAGCCCACATAGCAGGAGCTATCTTGGTGAGAGGAGCTTAGGAGGGGCTAATATATGGTTTCACATAACATATTAGATAATATTAGATTGTATACTGGATAATGTTATTTATTTAATATTAGATATCTATCCAGACTGCTAATAGTAGTTTATTGTATTATCTATTATATAGTGCTAGATAACATATTACCTAACTTCACGTTATGTACTCTGCAGTTCTATATTTAAATTTGTTCTGTTTTTCACTTAAGGTTCTTACAAGTGTCCCCTACCCATCTGCCACCACCACCTGTGTTCACAGTCTAATTTTATGCATTGTCTTTAGTTTTCACATTTCCATAATCTTTAATCTGGAGGATTCTACACCCTTTGTCTTTCTATGCTTGATATTTTTGAAGAGTATAGGCAAGTTATTTTGGAGAAAGGCATTAATTTGGAGGTGTGTCTGATGTAATTCACGTGCGGGTTCAGATTATGTATTGTTGGTAGGGATACCACAGAAGTGGTGAAATGTCCTTTTCATTGCAACATAACAGGGTCCAAGTGATGTCAGTTTGTCTCTTCATTGGTGATCTCAACCTTGTCCACTTGGCCGAGATGCTGTCTTTCAGATTTCTCCACTATAAAGTTACTTAAAAAAAAACGAAAATAATAAAGTTTCTTAGGAATAGATAATATTATTCATGGGCATTCAGCTGTAAAATGATCTTCTCCTCCATTTATTCTTTGTTCAACTACAGATATTCTATCAATATGGACTTAGAATTGACTCTTGTTAAGTTAAATGACGTGTATGTTAACAATTATTTTTTCCAACCTATGGTATCATAGAACTTTCTTATATCAGGTGTACATCCAGTGATCATTAGAAAGTTTGCTGAATGGAGTAACCATCACCACAATTCAGTGATCATTTCATTCTCATATCGATCTCCTCATGCCTACTTATGGTTAGATATCATTCTCACTCAGATTTGAAGCAATCACTAATCAATTTTCTCTCTATATGTGTTTTCCTACCTGGACATTTTATAGAAATGGAATCCTGCAATATGTGGCCCTTTGTAACTGACTTCTTTCATTTAGCAATAATGTCTCAAAGGTTCATGTATGTTGTAGCATGAGTCAGTACTTCATTTCTTTAAATTTCCAAATGAGATTCCATTGTATGGATAGACCATGATTTGTCTACTCATTTACCCCCGGGAGGGCATTTTGGTTGTGCTCTTTTGGGTTTTTATGATTCATGCTGCTGTGAACATTCATGTGCCAATTCACAATACACATCCCTGTTGGTGGGTGGCATCCCTGGCCACCTTTTCATGTCTCTTTTTCTGCCTTTCCTGGCACTCTGCAGGCACAATTCTGCTTTTCCAGGAACTGCATCACTCAGGACTCTGCAAGTTTCCAGAAGTAAGAAGGAAAATGACCATGTTCAAGGTGGGTAGGACTTGTTTCTATTACTCTTAAAATTCCATCTCAGTACTCAGATTGTCACAAATTTTTCTCTGTCTTGGGAAGACTCAAGGAGAAAAGCAGACATTTGAGGATCTCTTGTGTACCAGGTGCTTCCTTTGTTACTTTTGAGTGGATTTTGCATTTGTCTTTACTTCTTGTTTTCTTGTGTCATTTATTCTATGGAGTAGACAAGATAGTAGGAATGGATAATTATTTCATTATACTACTTCTCTGCTCACACATTAGCTATTTTTGTCCTGTGATACTCTTCTTCATGTACATTCATAACTGTATTTGTATTGGTGATATTAATCTAATTTAAATTGCACTCTTTGTATTTAATATTATATAATGCTCATTTTTAATGGTTGCACCATATTCCCATTTAATCGATGTTCCTTTTTAATTACTTTATACTCCCAGACACCAGGAACTCAGTTTTGAAAGGCTACTTTTGATGTGTGCCATGGTGGCTCTTTTGTAGATAGAGTATCCATATGTGGCACATCATGGCAGGCTGTAACTGTGGCTTCACACAAGGATTGCTGGAATTTTCCACACAGGAAGAGCTAGATTCTCTTTCCCCCATGCCTGAGTCATGCCTTCTGTGTCTTTTGTTTACTGGCCTTTCTTTATTCCTTTATATATTAAGGAATTTGACCAAAGTAATATGTAAGCTAATTTTTTTTTTTAAATTTTTTGAGATGGAGTTTCACTCTTGTTGCCCAGGCTGGAGTGCAATGGTGCAATCTCAGCTCACTGCAGGCTCTGCCTCCTGGGCTCAAGGGATTCTCCTGCCTCAGCCTCCTGAGTAGCTGGGATTACAGGCATGCGTCACCACGCCTAATTTTGTATTTTTAGTAGAGATGGGGTTTCCGATGTTGGTCAGGCTGGTCTCGAACTCCCGACCTCAGATGATCCGCCCACCTCGGCCTCCCAAAGTGCTGGGATTACAGGCATGAGCCACCACACCCAGCCTAACCTAAATTTTTTGTGTATGATACTAGAAGATTTGCCAGTCATTTGTGTTTTGTTTCTTCATTTACTCCTCAGAACAGCTGATTGAAGCAGTTCTTATCTTCCTCTTAAACACATGAAATATGAGAAACCTGCTTGGGTTCAGACAGGAGACCAAGGGTTAAGAATATTAGCCATTTTTGCCATTTTCCTCAGTTGAAAGAGAGAGAAGAAGAAAGAGAGAATTCTCCACTGAGGGGCCTGTGCCCTGTGGTGTGGGTGTTTGGAGTGTCCTGTTGAGTGACGACATCCACAGGTGGCATTGCTCCTCCCTGGCCCTACCTTGGGAGGGGGACATCTTCTCTTCCTGTCATGGTACCTCTTCCATGGCCCCCAGCACTTCAGGCACCCAAAGACAGCAATTACCATAGTCATTATAGAAAATTTTAAAATTCATTATGGGAAAAGATGCCTTACACAATGTTACCAGAAAATGTAATAGTCTAAGGTGAAAATATTTACCATTTGGATATCTAAAAAAAGACACAATCTAAAATAAGAATCTTATGCACAAACTAGGGAAGAAAATCCAAAGAAATATGAATAAAGGACATTACCAGGAATGTATAGAAGGAGAAAAACAGACGTCAATAAATATTTGAAAAGATGGTGGTATTCATTTATAATCAAATAAGTGAGAATAATAAAACAAAATCGTGGCCAGACCCGTGACTCACACCTGTAATCCTGGCACTTTAGGAGGCTGAGGAAGGAGGAATGTTTGAAACCAGGAGCTCAAGACCATCCTGGGAAACATAGCAAGACTCTGTCTCTACAGAAAGAAAAAAAAGAAAATAACAATTTCTTCCTAATCAGATTGCCAAAATAATGGGAAAATTGATAACCTGCTTTTGGCTATGTTAAGAAAAATCAGGATAATGTATCCCCTTGAAAGATTTTGAAGTTAGGTAAAAAAAAAAAGGAGAAAATGTGACATGATCACAATTTTAAACATTCTTATTTTTTGACATTTTGCTATTTAAAACTTACTTTAAATAGAAGAGTAAGATCTACCTGAAATGATGTTCTTTATTGGATTGGTAATCATGGAAAAGATATAAAATTAAATATTCATTATTTAGAATAACAATAGATTAGTTCCATGGAACACTATGCAGACATGAGATAAAATCAATAACAATAATTGACAAAAATCAAAGCAGCTAATGTTTATTAAGTATTCAGTCTGTGCTGCACACTTTTGCCCAGTACCATATGTATATTCCACTGTTTAATGCTTTAAAAACTACAACATGTGACAATCATTATACAGAGAGGAAAGTAATGCATTCAGGCCAGCTTGTCCAAGGTGACATGACTGGGAAGGGACGGAGCCTTATCTATGCGCTCTGAGGCATGCTGGCTGCAGATCATGACATTCAATGTTGCAATTAATATATGTAGTTTTTGCCTTGAGAGTACAGAGGGCTCACTGCGTAACTACTCACACATGTCACCATAAGCTTGTCAGTTTGGCAAATGTTGAAGAAAAACAATAACATCCAGGGTTCAAGTTTGAGAGAGGAAGACAATGGGCATTATCAAGCAAAGTCAGGACTGAATTGCGAAATGTTGCTGAGGTGATTGTCAAGATTTATCAAAATGTATATATGTGTAGCCCAGGACGACACATTTAGAGTCCTAGAGGATTACTTACAAGGAGACTCAATGATTGCACGAAGTAAAAATACAGGAGGTCTTTTTCATCATTGCGTTTCTGGTGGAACTCAGGAAAATCAGTCATTGTCAGGATTCAGACAGAATGAGTAGGAAACCTATGAGTTGACCTATGTCTCTCAAGATCCAAAGCAACTTCCCACCCCTCCCCTCTGTCTGCTCAGTACCACCCCTCTCCCAGGAATCATTGGTCATAAGGTTGAGGTTGCATATGTTTGATGCTGTAGGAGGCAATGACTTTCAAGGACGTGGCTGTGGTCTTCACTGAAGAGGAGCTGGGGCTGCTGGACCTTGCCCAGAGGAAGCTGTACCAGGATGTGATGCTGGAGAACTTCAGGAACCTTCTCTCAGTAGGTGAGGACAGTGAGTGTACAATGAGAACCTAAATTTCTAGTACATTTTACCTTGATGTTACCTAGAATGTGTTGGGATTAAGCACGTAACTTTGCCTATTTGCAGGACATCAAGCATTCCACAGGGATACTTTCCACTTCCTAAGGGAAGAAAAGATTTGGATGATGAAGACAGCAACCCAAAGAGAAGGGGATTCAGGTAAGAATCAAGCAACTGTGAATCCCTGTACGTCTCTTCCATCTGTTTACTTCTGTCTGTGCTCAAATCCATTGCCCTGGCCTAAATGGCCAGACCTCTTTCTTGGATTATTGACAACCATCTTACACCTGGTGGCCCTGCTGCCTGCCTTCCCATCGTGACATCTGTTCTCATAGCAGCCGAAGTGATCCTCAGGAAATGTAAGTCAGATTGTCATTCCTCAGCTCAAAAGCCTGTTTGGCTTATTTTTATTAAAGTTACAACCTCTTTAATTGACTTTTTGAGAACCTGTGTTCTGCCATTCATCCCCTCTCTGCCACCTCTCTAACTGCATCTCCTGTCCTCTCCCTGTTGCTCTGTCTTTACCAGCCACGTTATTCTCCCTGCTGTTTCTCTGTCCTCCCAAGGACACTGTGTTGCCTTTTGCTGGTACCCAGTGATCACAGACTTAGCAGACTGAGCAACAAACATTTATTATTTTTGTGTTCTTTAGGGATGAAGTCTGATACATCTCACTGGGCAGTTATCAAGTTGTCTGTGGGGCTTCATGTTTTCTGGATGCTCTTGGGGAGAAGCCTTAGCTTTGGTTTATCAGTGTCTAGGCACTGTCCACACTCCTTGGCTCTTGCTTTCCTTCTTCCATCTTCAAAGGCAGCAACTTGCATCCCCGTAGTCGCGCTCCCTCTGCCACCCTTCTTATGCCTTCTTTCACCTTTTGCATCCCTTGTAATTATATTGATCACTCCTGGATAATCCAGGATGATCTTCTTGTTCTCTGGTTAACTGACTAGCAACCTTAATTGCATCTACAACCCCTATTCCCCTGCTGTATACGTGATCATAGGTCCTGGGGACTGGATGTGGACATCCTTTAGGAACCATTATTCTGTCTCTACAGAAGCTTCTGACTCAGTCCTTACTTGCTTATCTCAGTCATTGGAATACTCTGTCACCTTAAAGCCATCTGGCATCTCCTTCAGTTATTCAGGTTTCTTTTCAGTTTTAAAGTCATGAGAGAAGCCATCCCAAACCACTCTCTATAATTCCGTTCTATTTTGATTCTTCTTGTGCTGTCTTGTACCAAGTCTCATGAACTTCTGTTTATCTGTCACTTCTACATGCTGGACTGTAATGTCTAAGAAATTTTAACTCTTCTGGCTGTATTTTCAGTGTCTAGAATAGTCCTGGTACATGGCAGGTTTCCAAATATTTGTTAACCTGATGTATAAGCTATTGAATGGGGTGACTTCACTGTCTCCTGGAATCATGGAGAGAGCTAAGAAGTGAAACACAAACCACGGTGAAAGACAGATATTGCAGAACGTGGTTTTTGTCTTCCAGTGGCCATGTATTTAATTAGAACATTCTTAGATTCCCTTATTTGACTACATTGTGTGTTTACAGTGGGCCCACATCGCATGGAAACTTCTAAGCATTATTTTTATTACCACACTGATCAATATGCCTTCCCTGTGACTTATCCTGGAGCTTTTCATAGGAAGCATACTCATTTCTGGAAAGAAATCATTTTTGAATGAGCATCCTGATGTCTGCTAGTGAGACAGCTTTTCTACAAGGGGAAAAAATCTCCATTTTGTGATGTGACAGATAATAACCAGCTCCCCAGCTAGCTTTCCTTTGAGACATTTACCTATCTGCAGCCCATTTGCCTTTCCAAAGTCTGCATGCACGTCACTGACCCCAGGTTTCTCCTTCTCCTGGATGGGGAAGGATGAGGAAGAGAGCAACACAATTCACGCAGCTGAACATTGCCTACATTTCTGGTCGTCTTTGTTCAAAAATATGTATATTTCTGCATCTTCATTGTATACAAATTTAATTGTTAAAAACATAAAAGAATATAGATTTTTACAACATAACTTTTCCTTTATTTTTTAGAGACCTAGTGCTCTATTTTCAACTTTATAACTTGGAAGGAATCAGGAAACCGCCCTCTCAAAACATCATAACCCTGAAAGAGACTCTCTCCTCCCCAAAAACCTCTTAAGTAACAGTGTGTTAAATATATCCATATTCCAGTGTGTACCATTGGGTACACATTTACCTATTACTGTTTTCCGAGATTCAGCCTTGGAAGTTATCTTTCCATTTGACTGACTTAATTTAGGACTTGGTAATATCCTGACCAAAGTTTTCAACATTTTTATGAGTGTGAGTCATAGTGAGAAACACATCTTTCATCATAACCAGGACAAACATTTTTCATGCATGTAGATGTTTATGGGTTACTTTAGTAGGCATTTCATGAAATGATACCTTTCTTGCTTGTCATGAAGATGTGATCATTTCTTTTCTAGTTCTTTTTTCCTAAATGCTCATTAGAAGGTTTTAAATTTATTTCACAGCTCCCTTCTTGTCTATATTATGCCATTTGGAAATAGGTATAAAGGCATATTTATCTATGTCATATATTTTCTGCCCTCTTTTTTCTTCTTTTTTCTTCTTTTTGAGACAAGGTCTCACTCTGTCACCCATGCTGGAGGGCATTGGCATGATCTTAGCTCACTGCAACCTCCGCCTCCTGGGTTCACATGATTCTTATACCTCAGCCTCCCACGTAGCTGGGATTATAGATGTGCGCCACCACACCTGGCTAATTTTTGTATTAGTAGAGACAGGGTTTCACCATGTTAACCAGGCTGGTCACCAACTCGTGGGCTCAAGTGATCTGCCTGCCTTGGCCTCTCAAAGTGCTGAGATTACAGACGTGAGCCACTGCGCCTAGCCTCTGCTCTTTTTTTTTTTTTTTTTAAATGAGAGTCTAATACTCCCCCATGGAACCAACCAGGGCATGACCCCTCAGGCATTCTTTTTATCCCAAGTGTTCTCATCACCTTTCATTGTCTCATCAGGAGCATCACCCTTTGTATGCCCCTGTCAAGTCCAACCTTTCAGATTCCCATCAAAACTGCAGTTGTCTGTTTCTTACCTATTTCAGATAACCAAATTATTGTTCACATCTACAGAAAAATAAAATTAAAGATACATGTTATGCAAAATTCTTGTATAGGAATATTATGAATATGTAGATATAAACACTCGTAGGCCTTTGATATTATTGTGAAGAGTTTAACTGACTACACAGTTTAGAGCAAGAGTTTACAGAAGATCATTCTCATTTCACACCAACTGCAAGTGTGGGGATTTTCCAAAACTACCTTCACATTCAGTAATTACTTAGAAAGACAAGCAGAACTCACTGAATGCTTTTATACTAAAAGTTATGGATATTTACAGGGTAGAGGTGCACATTACATTTCACCAAGAGAAAAATAAGGAACAGTTCTGGGAAGTACCAAATGAGGATCTTGTATTCTTGCGATAAAGTAGGATGCGTTACATTCCTAGAATTAAGGTGTGACGTAGAGAGTACAGCGAATCAGGAAAGCTCACCTGAGCCCTGGCTTTACAAGTAATTTTTGAGGCTCCATTACATAGCCATTATTTGTTGATTGATTCCTATGTGGCTAGTCAGTCTCCTGGGCCACTGATTGCATGTAACCTAAAGCCCCACCTTAAATCACATTGCTCTTTGTGACATGGGGGGCACCAACCCCCAAAGGCGTGGCCAGCCACAATCCTAAATCATATTGCTTCACTTTCCAGTGACCTAGTTTTGCCCCCAAGCAAACAAAGACACTCTCCTCAGGCATAAACTCCTAGAAATTACCTCTTAGATCCTGAGGAGAACATCCAGACCTCATTTTGAGTGAGGTTAATATCTTTACTTTGTAAGGATACACAATATAAACACAAATGTACCAAGTATTGATTATATTACTTTTCTTTAAAGTTGGTTTTGATTCATATTTTATTATATACATAATTTATTAGTTTCATAATTTACCATGCAAGATTTTAGACTGATTAGGAAATTCACTAGGAAGAGTAGCAGGTATAATGTTTGTATCATATTAATTTTATTATTGTCTTTTATTTTATTTAAAAATTTTTTTCCAGTAGCTTTTGGGGTATAGTGGTTTTTGGTAACATGGATGAATTGTCTAATGGTGAAGTCTGAGATTTTAGTGTACCCATCACCTGAGTAGTGTACACTGTACCCAACTTGTAGCTTTTTATCACTTACCCTACCTTCCAGCCTCCCCATTTTGAGTCTCCATAGTCCATTATATCACTCTGTATGCCTCTGCATACCCACAGCTTAGCTCCCACTTATAAGTGAAAACATGGTATTTGGTTTTCCATTCCTGAGTTACTTTACTTAGAATAATGGCCTCCAGCTCCATCCAAGTTGCTGCAAAAGACATTATTTCATTTTTCTATGGCTGAATAGTATTCCATGGTGTATATATACCACATTTTCTTTATCCACTCGTTGGTTGATAGGCACTTAGGTTGGTTCCATATCTTTGAAAATGTGAATTGTGCTGTAATAAATATAGGCGTGCAGGTGTCCTTTTGATGTAATGACTTCTTTTTCCTTTGGGAAGACAGTAGTGGGATTGCTGGATCAAAAGGTAGATCACTTTTAGTTCTTTAGAGAATCTCCATACTGCTTTTTATAGAGGTTGTACTAATTTACATTCACACCAGCAGTATATAAGTGTTTCTTTTCACCACACCCATGTCAACGTCTATTGTTTTTTGTAAGTCTTTTATTTCTACCAAGCATTTTACATATGATACTTGGTTTAGTTCAAAATTGGCCTCATCCAAACTGGAGATTATGGTGCACTTGAAAAATAAAAACTGAATGTTGCCTGTACTCTTGAGAGTTTCATGCCATGGCCTAAGTGAAATCTTGATAACACTGAACAAAGGCTTCACTTGTCCTCGTCTTTTAATTCTGTATTCTGATAGGAGACAAGATCCAAACTGAGATGGAGACTATTTCAGAAGCAGGAACAGATCAAGAGTGGTCCTGCCAGCAAATCTGGGAAAAAATTGCAAGTGATTTAACCAGGTCTCAAGACTTGGTGATAAATAGCTCTCAGTTCTCCAGAGAAGGTGATTTCCCCAGCCAGTCTGAGGCAGGACTATCTGTAATTCACACAAGACAGAAATCTTCCCAGGGCAATGGATATAAACAGTCCTTCAGTGATGTCTCCATCTTTGATTTCCATCAACAATTACACTCAGGAGAGATGTCTCATACATGTGATGAGTGTGGAAAAAGCTTCTGTTACATCTCAGCCCTTCGTATTCATCAGAGAGTCCACCTGGGAGAGAAACGCTACAAGTGTGACGTGTGTGGTAAGGAATTCAGTCAGAGCTCACGTCTGCAAACTCATCAGAGAGTCCACACTGGAGAGAAACCATTCAAATGTGTGGAATGTGGGAAAGGCTTCAGTCGTAGATCAGCGCTTAATGTTCATCATAAATTACACACAGGAGAGAAACCTTATAATTGTGAGGAATGCGGGAAGGCCTTCATTCACGATTCCCAGCTTCAAGAACATCAGAGAATCCATACTGGGGAGAAGCCATTCAAATGTGATATATGTGGTAAGAGCTTCTGTGGTAGATCAAGACTTAATAGGCATTCCATGGTTCACACGGGAGAGAAACCATTCCAATGTGATACGTGTGGTAGGAGCTTTCGTCAGAGATCAGCACTTAATAGTCATCTTATGATCCACACAGGAGAGAAACCATACAAATGTGAGGAGTGCGGAAAAGGCTTTATTTGCAGGCGAGATCTTTATACACATCATATGGTTCACACGGGAGAGAAGCCATATAATTGTAAAGATTGCGGGAAGAATTTCAGATGGGCCTCGTGTCTTTTGAAACATCAGCGAGTCCACAGTGGAGAAAAACCCTTCAAATGTGAAGAATGTGGTAAAGGATTTTATACAAATTCACAATGTTATTCCCACCAGAGATCCCATAGTGGAGAAAAACCATACAAATGTGTGGAGTGTGGGAAGGGCTACAAAAGGAGGTTGGATCTTGACTTTCACCAGCGCGTCCATACAGGAGAGAAACTGTATAATTGTAAGGAATGTGGGAAGAGCTTTAGTCGGGCCCCATGTCTTTTGAAACATGAGAGACTCCACAGTGGAGAAAAACCATTCCAATGTGAAGAGTGTGGGAAGAGGTTTACTCAAAATTCACATCTTCATTCCCATCAGAGAGTCCACACTGGAGAAAAGCCATACAAATGTGAGAAGTGTGGAAAGGGCTACAACAGTAAGTTTAATCTTGATATGCACCAGAAGGTCCACACAGGAGAGAGACCATATAATTGTAAAGAATGTGGGAAGAGTTTTGGCTGGGCCTCGTGTCTTTTGAAACATCAGAGACTGCACAGTGGAGAAAAACCATTCAAATGTGAAGAGTGTGGGAAAAGATTTACTCAGAATTCACAGCTTCATTCTCATCAAAGAGTGCACACTGGAGAAAAGCCATACAAATGTGATGAGTGTGGGAAGGGCTTCAGATGGTCCTCAACTCGTCTGACCCATCAGAGACGCCACAGCAGGGAAACACCTCTCAAATGTGAGGAGCATGGGAAGAACATTGTACGGAATTCATTCTCTAAAGTCCTAGAAAAAGTTCACAGTGTAGAAAAGCCATACAAATGTGAGGACTGTGGGAAGGGCTACAACAGGCGCTTGAATCTTGAGGTGCATCAGAGGGTCCACGTGGGAGAGAAAACATGGAAGTGTCAGGAGTGTGATATGTGCTTTAGTCGGGCCTCAAGTCTTCAGCTTCATCAGAATGTTCATGTTGGAGAAAAACCTTAGTGATGTGATGGTGCGATAAAGTCTTCACTCAGTCTTCATGAATGCAATCTCATCTGAAAGTTCACAAAGGAGAGAAACATTAAAATATGAGGCACATAGTAAGCACTTCCCTTTGAGTACTTTATCTCTGAATCCATGCTGATGATAAATTTCACCCATTCTTGGAAGAGGTAAAACCTTTGTTTAAGATAACATCAGTGCTTCAACCATAACTCAGCATGCCCCAGTAGTCTCAGGACCACCATAGTGGAGAATCCTTGTAAATGGTGCAATAAAGCTTCATTCAGAAGTTTGATAATTACAGCTATCATTCAGGAGACAGGCCTTAGAAAGAGTAAGAGTTCATGAATTTGCTGAACTCTAACGGTGGACATGCCAAAACTGACGTCCGCTAGAATGTAAGCTACATGTGTCTTTCTTTACTGCTAAATCGTCACGGCCTTAACATTGATTAGCACTTGGTATGTGTTCAGTACTTGTTTGTCAAATTAAAGAAAGGATAAAACATATGTATGGATTTGGATACAATTTTATGTATCCAAAAAGGGAAGCCTGCAAAAAATAATTCTGGGAAACATGAGTTGAAATGTAGAGTAAACTCAATACTGCAATCCATAGCAATATTTTGAATGTTATTATTTTTTCCTTTTAATTTTTTTCTTGATCAGATTTATTATATTCATTGAATATTATTTTATTGCACTTGGCTCCTGACTTCCCCCCATCCTGTGTTAAGTTGGATTATTATTTGTGCCTCTATCAAATGTTCATTGCTTTATACGGCATAAATTTAACCGTCTTTTGTAGTTTTTCTCACAGTATAGACTGAAAAGGTTTGGTTAATTTTGCAATGACAGGCCACTGCATATTTTACAATTAAGTGTTCTCAACAGTATTAAGGCAAGATTTACAGTAACACTTTTAAAGTGCCAGATGTACATTGACAGAAATTTTCTTAGTCAATCCTAGATTGATCATGATTTGTGATTTCTACGCAGGCCTTGGTATGATTGCCTTTTAATTGCTGTACAATTTCTTTTTTTTTTCTGGTATAAAATATTCTAAATTTGAAGGACAACTTTTGTCAACTTTCTTATCCAATATTCTTCCACCAACCCTATAAAACAGGAAGAGAAACTTAATGGAATTTGGTAATTTCATCAAATATATTCATTATTGGGGGCAGGAATAACACTTAAATCCTCCTCTTTATTGCTGGCAGTAAAAATATGTCTTTTGGAGAGCAGAACATGTCAGAATGTATAAGGTGCAACTGTTTGATATGAAAACCATAGGTTAGGAAATTATGCCTATGACACTAAAACTCCAAAAAGTAGAAGACCACATTGATGTCACTCCATTTTAAAATGGAAAGAACAAGTGTTCAAGAACAGGAATTTGTGTGAATTGCATTTATTCCTATAATAACATGAAATCAATGAGATGATGACATAGACACAATAACAAAAGAAGAAAATGTGGCTTTTTTTAGCCTTCATAATCTAATCAAATAAATATCTTTGTGTGTGTTATGTTCTTTTAAGTGTTTACATACTGTATAAATGAATATTTTTACTGATCTTTGCTGGCAATGAGGATTTGCAGGCATTTTTCCATTTGGTACTTCCATGCATTTTAAATTTTTTTATGCCATGATCTTTTTAAACAACCAGCTCTTGTGTGAATTAATAGTGTGAACTCACTCATTACCTTGGTGGGGACACCAGTGTTCATGAAAGAACTGCCTCCATGACCAAGCACCTTCCAATAGTCCCCACCTCCAACACTGGAGGTCATATGTCAACATGAGATTTGGAGGGGATACATATTCAAACTATTGTCAGATGCTAACTCATCAGGTATACACCACAGTAATATCTTAAGTGTGTTAAGTTAAAGTGATATCTTTTCTAAGGTATAGGACAAGTAGGGCATATCACCCCCACTACAAGCAAAGAAAAGTGTCACAATGCTTAGTGTACCACTTTTGATATTGGATGCAACTTATTGTTTTGATTGTGCTCTCTGACTTTTATGAGTGACCTAAAAACTTTTTGACTTGTCCCAGACAAGTTTGTATAATATGTCCCAGCTGCCACGTAAGCTTCTCTGCCACTAAAACCCTATGATCCCGGAGGTCCAAAAGTGTTTGAAATGTCAGTGGCAGATAGTGATGTTTGAAGCCTATGGCTGGCCCTAATTGGAGAATCAAAATTCAGATGCTTAGGATTTTGAAGCAAATCTCTGCCATCCTCTGCATATATTTACTCTCCTCTTGAGAAGAAGCTTTTCATTTTGCTAGGGTTTTTTGTTGTTGTTGTTGTTGTTGTTGTTTTTTGACGGAGGCTTGCTCTGTGGCCCAAGCTAGAATGCAGTGGCACAATCTTGGCTCACTGCAACCTCCGCCTCCCAGGTTCAAGCGATGCTCCTGCCTCAGCCTCTTGAGTAGCTAGGATTATAGGCGCCCGCCACCGCGCCTGGCTGATTTTTGTATTTTTAGTAGAGATGGGGTTTCACCATCTTGGGCAGGCTGGCCTCAAACTCCTGACCTCAGGATCCACCCGCCTTGGCCTCCCAAAGTGCTGGGATTACAGGCATAAACCACCACGCCCGGCCACTAGGGGTCTTAAAAGGGACAGAACACTTGACCACAGACCACAAAATTAACATGTGACTTATGCTTTCCATCATGAACTGGGTGTCGACCCCTGCATCTCTTTAAGTTACATGTGCAGATTAGTATTCCATTTGGAAGTGGTGTATATGAGATTGTTTGTGCAGGCTCTGAAGCCATAGGTAAGTGCACCTAATATTCATCTCCCTACTCTTGCTATATTATCTTCAGAATGAGTGAATATAAAGATAAGTCATCTGAAATTATTGTCTCAGCAGCAGAAAGAAGTGGAATACACAGTTGGGCGCGGTGGCTCACGCCTGTAATCCCAGCACTTTGGGAAGCCGAGGCGGGCCAATCACCTGTGGTCGGGAGTTCGAGACCAGCCTGACCAACATGGAGAAACCCCGTCTCTACTAAAAATACAAAATTAGCCGGGCGTGGTGGTGCATGCTTGTAATCCTACGCAGGAGGCTGAGGCAGGAGAATTGCTGGAAAGCGGGAGGCGAAACAACGTCTCAAAAAATAACAAAACCAAACAAAAAACTGAAAGCTGGTAATGAAACAAATACGTGTACATGAACATTTGTAGTAACACTGTTCACTACAGCCAAAAGGTGAAAAGAAGCCAAATGTGCATCAACGTATGAATGCAGAATCAAATTGTAGTATAAACATAAAATATTATTCATCTATGAAAAAGAATGAAGTACTGATATGTGATATGATGTGAATAACATTAAAAATATTATGCTAAGCAAAGGGAGTTAGAAACAAAAGCTTCCATTCATTTTTATAATTTGTCCAAAACAGGTAATAGAAAGGAGAGAAAGATTAATGTTTCCCCAGGAGTGGGATTATGGACAACAGTAGTGATTTGCTTAGTGGGCATGGGGTTTTCTTTGGGTGATAAAAATGTTTTGGAATTCAAGAGGTGGTGGTTTCACAATGAAGCAGCTACGTTGTCTGAGGTATAAACCCGGGGTTCGTCGTTAAGTGCCCGGAAAATTTAGGAGAGGGACACACAAGAGGAGTTTAGGCGCGGAGGTTTAATAGGGAGAAGAGAAAGAGAAATGGGTTACTCTATAGAGGAAGGGGTCTCGGAGAGGAAGAGGGTCGGCTGGCAGCGAATGTGCTGAGTTTTACAGTCCAGTTTGAGGAGGCACTCTTCAGATTTACATAGGCGTCACAGATTGGTTCGATCAGTTATGACGTTTACGTAGTGCCTGGGGAAGGCTGGTCGCCCCACCCTAATCTTTTTATGCAAATAGACTTCCCAGTTGATTGGCCCATCTTGTCTACTCCTTACTGTGCACGTGGCTGGCAAAGAGAAGGGAAGATGGAGCCGCCATCTTGAACATGATTGGCACAACTGGCGGTATCTATGTCTGCGGCAGCTCCATTTTACAGGCTGCTCTTCCTTAGGAAGGGAAATAATTTGGGGCTGTTTTTCATTAAACCTTTCATTAAAGCCTTACCGAGGGCTCCCATACCCTATCTGCCTAAGTGATTGCTTCTTAACTCCTACATCAACAACACTCTATTTGTACTAGATGCCATTGCATTGCATTCAATTGCCATTGAATTACGTGCCTTAAAATAATTTTGTTTTGTGAATTACACCTCAAAAATGTTTTTTAAATAGTAAAACGACTATGTTAAAAACGTTCTGCATAGCGAAAAACAGAAGTCAAAGGAAAAGCTTTTTGGTTGAGCAATATTTGATACAATGTTAGTATGAATCTGTAAATAATACTTAACGGAGGGAAAAAGACTAAACACTCAATAGAAATGTGGGCAAAACATTTGACCAATTCACAAACACTATAATAATGGCAACGGAAAATATGCAAGGATGCTCCACTTTATTTACAAAAGAACAAATACAAATTAAAACTACATTTAGATACCACTTCTTACCATTAGATTAGCAAAACTTAACTCCTCGAAGATTGCGTCTTCTCGCTTGTTCCCTTTCCAATAACACTCCTCTTATCGTTGGAGGCGTTTAGACTTCAGGAATTCCCGTCTATTCAATATTTTCTGTCCTGAACCAGGGAGAGAGAAGGACGATTCTCAGGATAACAGTTCACATTGCCCACCAGGCAGGCGCTCGTGAGGCTTTGGGATTCGTTCCCAGTGGGCACCCCGGAGTGGCAACGCTTCCCCCTGAAGAATGAGATTTTGAGCGTTTTTCCTTCGGGATTCGGAGGAGTGTAATCCAAATGCTCTATGGAGTCGCACACACTACCTCCAGGAGGAGGACACAGGCAATTCTGGTAACGGCGGTCCAGGTGCTCAGTGGAGTAGCGGTCAGTTTGGCTCCGGCAGGCGAATCGGGATTTCTGGGAAATGTAGTCCAGACACTCAGGGGAGTCGCAGTCAATTTGGCTCTGGCAGGCGGATCCCAGGGAATTCTGGGAAGTGTAGTCCAGACGCTCGGGGTCGCCGCGGTCGGTTTGGCTCAGGAATTCTGGGAAGTGGAGTCCAGACGCTCTGGAGTAGAGGGCACTTCCGCTCCGGGACTGTAAGGTTGCTGCAGTTTTGTCCCTGGTGGTTTGGGTCAGTTCCGCGGGACCCTTCTGAATTTCCTGGACCTACGCATTGGATCCTCAACCAACTGGTGATCGAATTAGGGGAAAAGAAACCTCGTCGGACAGCAGAGGTTTGGCGGGGCGAGGGCCGCTGTTTTCGTTCTAGTCAGTGGAGCCTTCTTGGGCTTGGGGCTGTCCTCGCGTCCCCGGGGTGTTGGGGCTGTCCTCGCGTCCCCGGGGTGTTTGGGACTTTGTCGGGTTGCGTCTCGCCTGGTTTTAGGGTTTCCGGGGCTCTGAGCTCGCCCACTCCGCCTCCCTGCACCCCACGCGCGTGGCCACGTCCTCGCGATTAAACGTTAGGGTGTTAATCTCCTTGGGTCTACCGTTACTGTTCTTTAAGATGGGGACTTTAGGAACATCCTAGTAGAATCGTTTTGGGAACTGGAAGAGGTAACACAAATGAGAGCCTTAAAGCAACCCCTGTCACTTGGTGACTGGTGGTCTCTTGTTAATTTCCCACAAAGCCGGTCCCCGGGTGGGGTGAGAGCTCCAGCTGCAGGGGCACCGGCCCTTCTCCCTGATCCCTGCAGGACGCTGGATGATTCCGGACGCCTTCTGACCTCTTCTTTTAGGAAAGCGAGGGTTGCGTCCACTTCCATGAAGGAAGAGGCGCATTTAACTTTTATGGCGCACGGCGACCACGGTCAGGGTGTTTCACAGCCTTCTCCTTAC